ACTTCTCTGGAGTTGGGACAGATGGCAGGGGTGGGTGGGACACTGGTTCCTCTCATCTCAGCCCTATCTGCTCTATCTCCCCAAAAGAGACAGAATGGTTCCATGTTTCAAATTATCACATCGGTGTGCTTGAAGAAATAGGCTCTCCGAAATTTAAAACAGGCAATTTTAGACTAAATCTCAGGTTAGAACTGAGCCAATGCTGAAAAACTAATTAGGAGGTGACAATAAAAAGATTGATTTCTCCCATTTTCTGTCCTTTGCTCTTTAAAAAAAATAATCCATTCAGCATTTCATGTGCCAAAATTCAGATGCTGTGATAGCCAAATGGACATTAGGTATTAGAAAGCAGGGTGCGATCTTTGAGGTTCAGAATGAATTTCCAAATAACATTAGCAGGACTTAATGTTGTAGCCCTGAATTTTTAGCAGATAGGGGATGACTTTTTATATTAGAATATTTTTTATTCTGCATATTTGATTTGTCTGAGTATTAGGAAAGTGCCTCTTTACACAGACCAAGTCAGGACTGCAATTCCTATTTGTATAAACTTTTAATCTATCAGAAATTTGGTTTAAGAATACATTAAAATATTCTTTCTTTAAAAAAATAAGGCCTCAAATCTTATGAAATAGCCAAAAAGAGTTATAAGTATCACATTATACACGATAATATCAGTTTGGTGAAATTATGTTTTATTTTATTATACAGATAACCCTTTTCCACACAATTTATTTTCATAATGAAATTCCTTCTTTTTTCTTTTTAGTATTTCAGAATAGGAATTGTGAACTAAAGTAAAATCTTAACTTCCCCAGCTGATTGAATGGACTCCCTCTTGGCCAAGGGGACCCCAGAAATACCCTAAATCTGAGTTTCTGGCCCAGAAAAGGAAGGTCAGACATGCATGCCACGCCCCTTCCCTTCTTGGAAACACCCTTTGTAACTCATTAACAGGCCTAAGGCTGTACAAGACAAAGTTTAAACCACACCTGTAGGCCATTACCTTACTCAACAACTCGAGTTTTGGTAAATGTCTGAGTGGCTTGTCTGTGATTAACAGACATCCTTATCTTAAGTTAAAATGCGAGGCCACGTGCTCCAGGCTGGACACACACATTTGACTCAGAATAAACCTCTTTAAATTATTTTATAGAGTTTGAGTCTTTTTCCATTGATAGGCTCTTTGCCCCAACTGTGATTTGTAGCTCTGCTTCTGAATTAAAATGAACAAATAAACAAGATCCGCTTCTGAATTAAAATAAATAAACAAGACCACAGACATGTTCTTCAGATTTGGTTTTCTTTCTGAGGTCAGCTGTCTGTAAAATATAGGAAGGAGGCAAGGGCTCCCAATGCAGGACCATTGCCACTTCCTCTGGGGGTATTTAAGGGGAATCCTTGGATTTGTGAATACCTTTAAAACAGCAAACTTGAGCTTCATTATCAAATCAGTGAAGATTATGGAAAAATCCTTGAGTCTTCTTTAGGGATTAGTTGTTACTTTAAAACAGGGGTCCTCAAACTTTTTAAATAGGGGCCCAGTTCACTGTCCCTCAGGCCATTGGAGAGTGCAGCGCACATTCCACACATGCGCACTGTAGGCCTGGGAGGAGTTGGCTGCTAAGCAGGACAGGCAACAGCAGCAAAAACACCCGGTGGGCTGGATGTGGCCCTCCTGCTGTAGTTTGAGGACCCCAGCTTCAAAACAATGCTGCATTTGAAAAAGAATTCTCCCAGGCACCAGTGGATTAATCTTGCCATTTCTTCACTGAGATAAATGAAAGAAGAAACAATGCCAGCAAACACTATTCTTTCAGTATCCTCAAAACCCAAACATTCCAGAGTGCAAAAGCCAAGATTTATAAGCAGCAGGAATTATGTTGGGGTGTCAAAAATAAAATAAATCCTCTGCTTATTTTGGCCATGTATTTATATTTCTTTCAGACTCAAGTCAAGATTGTCACATGGAAGAAATATTTCCTCATGGATTAATCTCAGTAGATTCACCCACCTGCTCCCCCACCTCCACACCATTCCTCCTGGGCTACCTGATGGGCTGGAGTCCCATAAGAGAATAAAAACGAATATCTAAAATAGTCCCAAACAAACTTAACTGAGAAGGAAAATAGTGTCATCATAATGGCATTTAGTATTTTCAAAGCCCCAAATAAAGAATGTTTAAAGTATCTATCCATCTTATTATTAGCTTTAAATAATATAATTAATAATATATAAGGCTTACATATTTAAACAAATTTCAAATGAAGAGAGGTACCATAAATTTATGTCTGAAAATTAAGTGAAATTGGGAAAGAAATATGATTTTAGAATTATTATATGTGATTGTGTTGTTTCTTTCTTCACCAGAAGTATGACACCTAATCATACAGCCATTCTTTTTTGTTGATCAATGTAGGTTTTCTTAGTCCTATGGTAAAGAGCATTTGTCCTTGGTGACATAATTTCTTTTTATACAAAGTTTTGCAATTCATTCACGGTTATCTGTTACGAATGGCATAAAGGATTCTTTTACTGAGTGAGTTGCCCTCAAACCACCGTCCAACTTAAGTTTCTGTAATTCTATGAGGAATATTGAATTTAAAATTGTTCTACTACCTCTCAAGGGGAAGTAGAACAAAATGAGCAGAGAAAGCAGAAATTTATTAAGCAACCAAAATGAGCAGGCATTATGGTAGGTGCTTTTTATTAGATATTTCATTTAGTATTAACAACTGAGGACTGAACTCTGATCTTTTTCTTTTGCTCAAAACTCCTTCCTAAGGAGGCCAGCTGAGTCAGGCTGACAGATGGTAAATTCCCACTAAGCAGCTTTTGTTAACCAAATAAAGTGATGGTTTATTTCCCTACCTGATTCCAGTATAGCATTATCATCACCTAAAAGATAAAAAGCCCCTATCTTAACTCAAGCATCCTATTAGATGCCTATCTAAGATTCTCCTGTCTGGATTAAACATTCTCCTGTCTGGATCTCCCAGAGTGCTCACACCTTTATCTTAAATTAAGCATATCCTTTCTGGTCTTTTAACTCTGAGCCAATTGCCAGCCAAAGAATTTTTAAACCCACCTATAACCTGTAAGCCACCCCGCTTAGAGGTGCCCCACATTTTTGGGCCAAAAATGTGTGCCTCTCATGTATTGATTTGTGACTTTGCCTGTGACCCCTGTATCTCTGAAAATGTATAAAACCGAACTATAATCCAGCCACAGTGAGTCCACTTGCCCAAGGCCTCTTGGCAGTGGCTCTGGGTCATGGTCCTCAAATTTGGCTCAGAATAAATCTCTTTAAAATTATTTTACAGAGTTTGGCTTTTTTCTGTTGACAAACAATGTGATGTAGTAGTATTATCTTCCTTTCATAGAAGAAAGAGAATAAACAACTGTCCCAACATTACAGAGCCACCAGGCATTTAGCCTCCATGTCTGATTTCTAAGTCCACTCAATTTCCAATGATTATCCTTTACCCTTCATCTATATTATGAGGATAACTGAAGACAACCTTGCCTTTATAAATAACAAAAATAACAAATCCTATGCCTGTAGAACTTGAGATAATGCATTTCCTTTCACCAAACTAAGACAATTTTTGATAACGATTAGTTAAGCAAAATCATTTTCAAACCTATAAATACTACAAAATAAAATTCAAACATAAAAACAGATCTTCAAAATTTAATTCTCTGTCTTCAAATTGTAAAGTCAAGAAGAATGAAAAGCAATTTCATCATTGTATCCATTTTTAGGACAATCACACGTCATATGGTTTCTAGACATAAATGCAAGATGTCGTTAGTAGCTACTTCACTATACTTCTTACACCAAGTACCTTTTTAATGTTTGCCTTAAATGTAGTAACACATTGATATGTAATTTGACTGTGTATCTTTTAACCAGGTATTTTATGCAATAATATCATTTTTAGCTTGCATAGGTTTATTGAATTATATCCTCTTCATTATTTTGTTTTTTAATAAGACTGCAAGGCAATTGTCTGCTTATTTACGAAGCATATAAATCATTTGTTATAACTGAGAGTTTTCCTCCCTTGATGACTTAGTGGTTAACATTCTCAATATAAGTAATTAAATTGACTTCAGTTTTACAAATTTAATTTCTTGCCAAAGCTTACAACTGAAAATATCTGGTAGTTGCAAATGTCTGGCATCAAATATCCAAATCAAGTCTTTTAAGTCAATTTTTCTTTGTCAATTTCATCTTTCCATTACTAAATCAATTACTTTTTAAACTGATGTCACCTAACCGTGCATAAGAAAGCGGAATTATTATAAACAGTGTCCTGAGGCAGATCAGGGGGACAGTGTGACAGCAGTGCAACAAGCTCCCATCCCAAGGAGGAAAATCTAACAAGCACCCCCCACAGCACTCCTGAAACCTCACTGGCTAAATAACACGCATTTTACTCATTATTTTTACTGTTTTTTAATTCTCACACTTTTCCAAATATGTATTTTTTTCCTTCTGGAGTGCTTTAAAAATAACTTGATCAAAGTTTGCTGAGTCAATACAACTACACTCTGAACGGCAAGATGCACAGATTAGAAAGTTTCTCTTCAAGAAGGAATTATTTTCTCCTAAAACTACCAGATGTTACTTCTTTAAATATTTTGTGATAACTAAGGTATCCAGACCAATTGGACCATAATACTATGTATGACTTTACAAGGTTAGCCTCCGAGATAATATGAGGTGATAGTTTGGGATGGTGGGTCAAGTCCTGGGCCTTACCTGAAGGGCACCCCTGAGCCTCTGCCCTCAGCGCTAAGGTGTGGATGAGAGTGTCCACCCACTGAGGCCGAGTAAGCTTATTGTGCAAAGTGACTGTTAATGTTTATGCATAGCATAAATGTAAATCATACAGTTCTCTCTATATTTAGCTATTACTATCATAGTCCCACAATCTATTAAGAGTCATGGTCCTCAGAAATCAAAGAAGGAAGATGCATGTAGTCAGATTTACCAATTCTTCACTTTCAAACTCCAGGTTATATTGTGCAGCTTCTTCTATTATGGGCTTCTGGACAATGTTTCTACAAACGAGCCAAATGGTCAGACTAGCGATGAACATCCCAATATCAGGTACGAACACTCGGATCCCGTTGCCAGCATCAGCTCCCTTTAAGCTTTAAAGGGAAAAAAAAAAAAGGGAGGAATTTAGTTGTTTTATATTTCCATGGTTAAACTGTTTCATGGTATGTTTCACTCTTCTTAATTATTTAAAATAAAAGATGCTCAGTTTCTGCCTAAGAAGGTACCAGAAAGCTTTTCATTGACCTCAGATTTGTCCAAATCTACCAAGATTCAGGAAGGTTCCAGTGTTTCACTGGAATTTCAGAAATATTATAGAGAACTCTTAAACCAATTCTCACTACAAAGACATACTAACAGACTATATTGTTAAATCAACCACATGTCCAGTAAAAATGCAGTTTTTTGCAATCTAGCTGAAGCAGTTAAAAACTAGACATACAGTAGCAGCTAGAAGATATTTCCTTAAGACGTGAATCAAAGCTAAAAGAAAAATAGAGAAAATGTTAAAGCAATCCATGAATCTAGAACTTGTTAATTATTTTGTATGCATCATTGATTTTGTCTTTTATACTGGCTAAGAAAGGTGAATCTAGTATGTGCCTTTTTTTAATCTTAGAGAAGTAACATTGAACTTAGAAGATTTGGGTGGAGTCTAAGTCTGCAACTTAGCGGCTGCAATCCACTGAGGACTTCTCACAGTCATCCTTCCTCTGTGCCAAACAGATAGTACTATTTGCCTTCTGTACCTTATTCAAGTGACATGAGATACTGGTCATGACTTTAGAAAAAAGATGTAACATATGTATGAAATAATGTATATAAAGGTTCTTTGTAAAGTATGAAACACATATTTCCACTCAAGCTTACATTTTGAGAAGAGCAGCATCAACTGACATTTAGATAATTTTCACACTGATATGGCATTTGTTGTTATAACTGAGATTGTGAAACAAATATGATATAGCAGGCAGCAAAGGCCAGAGAGTGAGGTGGAGAGGAGAAAGGTCTTCATCTGGGGGAGGAGGGACCTGTCTGGAAAGGCAATACAGACACCATCTGTGATTTTGGGAGGCGTCCAAAGAAAATGAATATGGGAATAAGAGGCAGTATATTGAGTTGCCAGCATGGCTGGCCAGCACAAATCACCTCAGCTGAAATGTGTTCTGGCTAAGCTCACTCTGCTGTGACTGTAAGACAACAGAGCTTCACAGACACTGGCAGACTTCTCGCACCAGTCAGCCCATGACACAGGCCAGCCATGTCCCTCACTGCAGTGCAAGACGACTATCCCATGTGCTGCTGCAGTCCTGAGCAACTGGGCTCCTAGCACTGTGTGGAAGTGTGGTACCATAGCCTCAGCACTTATTGCTAGTATTAAAAGCCACATGAAGAGTGACTCTTGGAATGTTCTCTCCTTGCCTATATAATAAGGAATAAACTCAGGCAAGAACCAAATGAAATGACTGAGTGATATGAAGAGAGGGTTAGACAGACTTAGGTTAACAAAATGAGTTCAGAGTGGGGAAGATATTGGCAGAGGAGTCAAGGGCCTGTGCTTGTACCGAAACTTTTGAAGGAGATGAGATGACCAGTGGGAAAATTAAGAAAGGAACTTCAAAGGAGGGTTAAGCCTTTGCAAAAATGTTTGTCAGAGATAAGTTTGTTTAGGGACAAGAAGTAAAAGATAGGGCTATACACATGTAAAACACACATACACACACACACACACATATTCACATATACTTTACATGATTACACACTGTATTCATTTATCTTATAATATATTATATATATTGATAAAAATATTTTAAAATAATAAATAGCAAGACCCCCATCATCTGGAAATAACATTTTGGTAAATAAAAACTGATTAATAATATCTATCTCTTACTGATGTGCCAAGAGCTTTGCACATATCGTTTAATTCAACCAACCACCATATAAGGTTAGGCATTATTATCCTCCTTTTACATATGAAAAAACTAAGGGTTCAAAGGGCAATCTAACTTCCCAAAGGCCACATAGATAAAGAATAGAATTATACTCCACTCTCCAAATTTATGTTTTCAACCACTATTTCTCATGTATGTACCCCGATAGCCTTCCCTTATAATCTTCCTTCTCTATGTAGACATGAATAATTATAGTTAACAAAACAAAGTTCATACTTTACCTACTGTTTTGAAACCGATTTGTTTGTCTAAGGTGTCAATAACATTTTCATAACTCATTGATGACTTCATACATCATTATACTCATGGGTAGAGAGTATTTGCTTAACTAGTCAAGTACATACATGGAATGTTTCCATTTATTTCTTATTCCTATAATATACATGAAAGTTAAAAATTAAATAAAGAGTCTTCTAATCTAAGATCTTCTAGGAATCAATCCTTAGTCCAATCTAATTTGCATTGCAAAAAATGATCAGGCCTAAAACTATGAAACTACTTTTATAGAAGAAAACACTGGGGAAATGCTTCAGGACATTTGTCTGAGCAAAAATTTTTTGGGTAAGATCTCAAAAGCACAGGCTACAAAAGCAAAAATAGACCAAAGGGATCACATCAAGCTAAAAGGCTTCTGCACAACAAAAGAGATAATCAACAGAGTGAAGAGACAACCTACAGAATGTGATAAAATATCTGCAAACTATTCATCTGAAAAGGGATTAACAGTCAGACTATAGAAAGAACTCAAACAATTCAGTAGCAAAACACCAAATAACCTGATTTAAAAATGGGCAAATGAGCTGAATAGACATTTCTCAAAAGAAGACATACAAATAGCCAACAGGTACATGAAAAAATGCTCAACGTCATTAGTCATCAGAGAAATACAAATGAAAACAGCAATGAGATATCCTCTCACCCTAGATAGACTGACTATTATTGAAAAGATGAAAAATAACAGATGCTGGCAAGGGTAGAGAGAAAGGGGAACCCTCATACACTGGTGGTAGGAATGTAAATTGGTATAGCTACTATAGAAAATGATATGGAGTTTCCTCAGAAAACTAAAAACAGATCTACCATATGATCCAGCAATTTCACTGGTAGATACATATCCAAAGGAAGGGAAATCAGTATATCAAAGAGATATCTGCACTCCCATGTTTATTGCAGCACTATTCACAACTGCCAAGACATAATAACCTAAGTGTCTACCAAATGGATAAAGAAAATGTGGCAAATATACAAAATGGAATATTATTTAGCCACAAAAGAAGAATAAAATCCTGTCATTTGCAGCAACATGGAAACATGGATGGAACTTAACATTAAGTTAAGTGAAATAAGCCAGGCACAGAAAGACAAATATTACATGTTCTCACTCATACCATGTCTCCCTGAAAATAAGACCTACCCATAAAGTAAGCCCTAGCAGGATTTCTAAGCATTTGTGCAATATAAGCCCCACCCCGAAAATAAGACCTACTGATGGGCGTGGCTACGCAGCGTAGCTGCACAGCTCATGCATTTCGTTGCAGAGAGGTAAAGAAGACGAGCAGCCCTTCTCATCTGCCCCATGAGAGCTCTATTGCTCGGCATGAGAGACTGGTGCCAATGGTTCTAAAGGAAATAGAGTCTCAAGAAATTCAGGATGAAATTCAGGGTTTGGAGAGTTATGATGATGTTCCAGAAGAAGATGACTTAACTATATTTGAATAAATGTAGATTGTTGTACCGTACTTAAAAAAAATAACACATCCCCTGAAAATAAGCCCTAGGGTGTCTTCCTGAGGAAAATAAATATAAGACACTGTTTTATTTTTGGGGAAACATGGTAAGTTTGAGCTAAAAAAGATAGACAATAGAATAGTGGTTACCAGTGACTGGGAAGTGGGGGGAGACATGAAGATAAGTTGGTTAAGGGGTATGAAACTACAAATAGATAGAATGAATAAGTTCTAGGGTTCCCAGCACAGTAGGATGACTATAGTTAACAACAGTTATTGCATATTTCAAAATAGCTAGAAGAGAAGATTTTGAATTTTCCCAGCACAAAAAAATGATAAATGTTTGAGGTGATGGATATCCTAAATGCACTGATTTGATCATTATGCATTGTATACAATTATCAAATATCATATGTACCCCATAAATATGTATAATTATTACATAATAATAGAAAAAAATGGTCTGAAAGGGAGACATCCCTGTGAAAGCTTCATTTTTGCAAATGGCTCTAAATTCTTACCCCATAAAAAAAACAAACACCGTTGTTTCAGAAGTTTTAAAAAGTAGAAAATTCCTTTCATTTGGGACAAGAATAAGAAAATTCAATCAAGAGAGCTTCATCCAAACTATAATAATGAAATAATGAATATAATATAATAATGATATCTGACAATTGATTTTCTCATAAGAAAAATGCAGAAATTTGAAGTATACTTTTAAAATATGTCTAATGTGATATAATAGAGTAAACTAGAATTAATATTATAATGAGAAAAAAAACGGGAAGACTGGAGGAAAGAGACCAAAGAACAATGGCCAGGCTTGAGTGGCTATTCCTGCATGGGGTAGAATCAGGGGAGCAGAATGGTACTACCCAGGTGGATTTTTGGCAACAGATTATTATAGCTCTTTCATGGAAAACAAATTGTGGCATTTTATGAAAAGCACCAACCAAGCAGAATTGCAGGGAAAAGAGTTCTTTAAGGGAAGGTAACAAGAGCTCTAGCTGTGGCCTCAGCAGCTTCTTGCACCACAAGAGAGAGAGTTAAGCCAAAGCCTTATACCTTTCCCACCTGTGGATTGCATTAAGCTTCCAATTTGCAAACAGTCACTCTGAAGCAACAGTCTCAGCTTTGTATTTCTTGGTCCCCAAAGAGACATTTTATAGCATACATATATTAAGGATATGAATGAATGTCATTTGCAAAAGCAATCACTCTACCTGCTGTGATAGAATTCAGCTACTGAATCCAGGATTGGACTGTGATCCCTACTTAGAATGGAATCATTCAGCCATGTAGGTGCTAAACTATTAACTTTTGCTCTTGGCTTGCTGAGTTAACAAAGCAGTGCATTCATAATAACTGCTATTGCAGAAACAATGATGCTTTTGAAAAATATAATGAAGAGTA